TCCCTTAACCTAGTAGTACCTGAATAATAAATAATAAACCTAATGATTTTCAATAATAATATTTTTAATATAATATAATATAATACTTTTTATGTTTCCAAAATTAATTTTTGTTTGAAAATAGCACATTTTGGAAGTTTGATTGGCATATACATTGAGTGTCAAAATTGAAATAAATATTTTAATATTTAATCAACAACTAAAATATTTTGTAAGTCTAGCCATACAAGGTTATTATCATCCTATTATTTTGTAAAAATCACCTTATTGTCCCAAAGTAATCGAGAGTTTATCTTGATTAACTTAAACCGAAGGGTAATACCATTGAAATCCTGTTTGTATTTCATATATTTCATTTGTACAAGTAAAATGCTTTAAAATTATTTTTTAATATAATTAAATAGCCTATATAAATATATAATTTAGTAAATAAACTAATTAAAAATATCGTGTTGTTTACTTTGAATTTAGTTTGGAAATATATGAATATAGACCAGTCTAACAATTTACAATTTACTTACAATTTAAATAGTAATTTTTTAATTATTTATCATTATAAACTTCATATATTTTCATGGTAATCAACTTCTCGCCAAAACTCACATCGGGCGTTATGACTGGACATTCAGGGATATACATTAATAAACTCATAGACAATATTTTATTTTTAATCATAACACCCCTATGGTTATGATTTATACATATGTGTCTACTTCGACTTATTTGCCATTTCAATTAATTACCAAACATTGCAATCATTTAAAACATTCATTTGGATATCTCTGACACTAGTATTGATTCATGTTTTTCCTCAAATTTGGAAATAAATTGGAGACAATTAGACTGAATATCAGTGAAAAGGATTACGAAATGATTAACAAATGGGTTGTGTTTTGCGTGAATGCTACTGAAATCCAATTAACACATGTTTTCTATCCCAGTCCCATTTTAAATGTATTACAAATTGTAAATGAATGCAATTATGTGTTTAAACGACTGAAAAGTATTTCTTTCTATGACTATCACATCGATGGCAATGATTTTGAAATGTTTGCCCAAAAGTACGCCAGACATTGAAATCAATGGAAATAAGGTTTGCGTCTCAGTTAACCTCAAGTCGTATGAATAGACTAATGAATGGTTTGTCACAAATGAATCAATTAATATGTTTTCTCATACACTCTGCACGACATATATTTTATGATAATATACACGACTTCCTCCAATTGCCACCACTATTGGCTCAATTGCGGACCAATTGTCCTCAACTTAAGAGTATAGGCATTGATTGCTATATACAGCCAGACATGGATGCAATCATTTCATCGATTAATACACATTTTAAACAATTAAAGCGTTTATCTATTAAAGGATACGTTTATAGTATGATAAATGTTGGCATTAAGTCGTTGAGTGATTAACACATCTCACGGCATGTATTATGTATGACCAGGGATGGGATGAGTGGTATCCCTATCCTATAATTACCGACGATTTCTTCGCTAACATTGACACAAATTTACCGAAACTTCAATATTTATATATCAAAAATGGGAAGAATATAACAGATATGACATTGAATTCATTGTCACTATTGAAACACATCCGTACCATTAAACTCGAGGGACACGGAGTGGTCACACAATCGGTCGTTAATAATCTCAATGAAAATTACGGGAAATTTTGTAAAATTAATTTAAAGTTGTGCAAACATTTTATACGATATTATTGCGTTGAATGTTATTATAATGTCTTGTAATTAGCTATTGTACAGTATTATATATACAGTATAGGCTTACTTATAATGTATATATTTTTTTAATATTAACTAATTTATTAACCATTTCATGTAATACTAAAGTATATTAATAACTTGTATTTTACTTTAATAATGGATTTAATTCATTGTCACTATTGAGACACATCCGCACCATTCATATCATTGGACAGGTAGTGGTCGCAAAGACAGTCCTTCTTAATCTATATGCAAATTATGACAAAATTGAATTTAAATTAATGGTCCTATCTTATGAAATAATAAATAGTAAATTATAATGAAAATGATTTATTGACATACTGTGCATGTCTAATTTACATACATTTGTATATTACACAATCCAATTAAAAATACGTGAGTAATACTGTACTGCCGTATGGGTCGACCGGCTTGTAATAGTTTTAAAGTTTTTATGTTAATCAAATTAAATGGCTATATTGTTTTAAAAGTATGACATTTAGCTATCTATGTTGTGAAAATGTTCTCGATGGTTAGGTAGGACAGCTAGACTTTTTTAAAATTAAATGTTATATAACCCACCTAATATTTGTTTCGAAAAACGTATTAACATCAAAAAAGTTATCAAGGTTCACAATTTGAATATCTCAAGAAATAGTTAACCTGGTGTTATTTCAACTTGCTAATTCCTTAAAAATTGCTATATTATAGGTTTAATATTTCAAATGACAGTAACTACTGTAAGTTATACTACTGCATAAAATACACTGTATGTAAATTTTTAAATGCACCAAGATCACACATAAGGCCTTATCTTGAGATATTCAAAATGTGAACCTTGATAACTTTATTGAGCACTATACATTCTTCAATTCCAATGATAAATTAGATATGAATAATTCATTCACAGACAAGCGTTAGTTTGTCAACTTATTAGTATTATAGTATTAATTATACTTTCATATAAACTTATGGAGATAACACACGAATCAATTTTTATTTAAAATCACTAACGCCTGTCTGTGAATGTATAAACCATATTATTTTACTTAACATTTGATATGACAAATATAAATGTCCTACCTAGCCATCGAGAATATAGTCAAAACATAAAAAGCTAAATACCATACATCCCACGAACTTACCTAGATTATTAAATAATCATTGAATTATCACGTTGGTTTAGCCATTATAAAAATGTTTAGAAAAATGTATTATCCATTTATCACGTGAGTTAAATTAACATATTTTGTGTTCACTATATTAGGTGTGATTTCTAACAATATTTTAATCGTTTGTCTCATTACACGATTGTCCAGAATATGCGCCGTTATGTACACACCGGCGGCGGCCGTACGCCAGTCATTGAGTGCTCGCCTCCGAGAGTCAGGCGCCGACATCACCGACGGTTTGGAGACCCGCCTCCATATGCAACACTATGACGTGGAAAGGCATAGTTTCTATAGAGGATGTACTTGATCATCGCACTTTAATTTATTTAAATATATTTACTATGATATACTGTTTATAGATTGCAACTATGTTATTTAGGTAGATTGAGTTGCACTAGATTGTGTTAATGTTTGATAAACGTGTCATCCGTAAAATTATAAGCAATATCAATTTATTAATTGCAAATATTCGATATTTTAATAATTTTTATTAAAAATATCTGTACCGGTATAAATAAACATTTATAGGTTGGCTAATAACTTGGTTAATTTAATTAATTAATTTCATGTTACCGTTTGATTATTTAATGTTTAATATTTATTTGCGTCGATTGTATGTAAATTAAACTAATTATGGTTACAGTGATAGACATTTAAAAACATAAAATGTACTCAAAAATGATTTATTCATTAAATATATAATACATTAGAAACCAATTGAACGCAAACTTCACTCTTTGGCCTCCTGTTCCTCCCTCTCGAGGAACTCCTCCCACTGTCGTAACCGCTGTTCCGCCTCCTCCTCCGTCTCGTCCACCTTATACTTAGCCCTCCCGTCCCAGAGGTGGGCCGTTAGCCTACGGCCGGCAAAAAACCTGCCATTCATGAGTTGCACGCATTGGTCGGCGCCCGCGAACTCCTGGAACACAATAGCGGCCACACCTTCCGGATGGCAGTCATAGACGTCTACTCTCTTGACGGGACCGCACCGGTCGCCGCACTCGTCCTGCAAATCGCGCCGGTATTCGAGTATAAGTTTGGGCTCTCTTTGGAACTCTTGCGGCGAAAACATATTCTTAATGATCACTGTTTTGTCACTTTTAGGCCTTTCGTGAGACACTATCGGTGTGTCGGGTCTCCAGTCTAGGAGTCTATCGAGTGATACACAAAGGGATCAGATATTAGTGTTAAGACATTATTGAATGGTATTTGTGGTCATTAAGGGAATGGGTGGTCGACTGAATGTATGGGAAAGTGATATAAACTAAGAAAGTATATGAGAGAGAATTAGTGATAAAATATGAGAGAGTATGGGAGAGATAGCAATGGAGTCTATGAGTGAGTGAGTGAGTGAGAGAGAGAGAGAGAGAGAGAGACTACGAGAGACTGAGAAAACAAATGGCAAATACTTCTCAATCTTCTTCCTCTCCTTATTCTTATCCCTCTTCCTCTGCTTGGGTTTGAGTGACGGGTCGTACTGTCCTTTGGGCACAAACTTGGCTCTCTCAACATGAATCTCATGGTCTCCCACGCGATACCCGTCCAGTATATTGAGCGCCAACTCCACGCTCTCCCTCTTGAGGTACGTACACAAGGCGTCGCCCTTTGGCTCTCCATTCGAGTCCTTATATATCTTAATCTTAAAGCCATTGCCATCTCTGGCAACGTATCCACACTTCTTCATCAGTTCCACGAACATGTCATCCGTGGTATCCGTTGGCAGTCCACTGACATATACTTTGGTGTTGTGCTCATCCGACACATCAAACCACTCATCGCTCTTCTGGTCCTCCGCCTTACGCTTCAGTAGTTTCGATACGAATGGCTTATTCTTCCCCTTCTTATCGTCACCGTTGGGATCAGTTGCCGGTGATTGCGATGAGTCCACCGGCTGTTGAGTAGCGCCGGTATCTGTGGTCGGTGTGGATGTGGTGGCGGATGGGGTGCTGTCACTGCCATTGCTCTCGAAGTTGCCGTAAGAGGACTGGTATCGGGCGATGAAGTCTTCGTCAATCTTCGGGAACCACGCCTTCAGCGACTCATTCCACTCGTATTCCGTGCCGTCCTCTGGATCTACTCGAGTCTTAACCTTCGCCGCCGCCTCCTTGGCCTCCCGTTCCCTCTGCTCCTGAGCCAACTGGAACTCGAAGTCGTCCGCATCCATGGCTGCAGACTATGGGATCAATGCACTGGTGATCGACACCTCTTTGGATGTGTTTTGTGGTCACTGTTTGTCACAAAAGGTTTGAAAACGTTTGTAAACATTGAGTGAGCGATGGGTCGTTCAGTTAATACGTGTCCAACGGATCCAATGGCTCTCTCTTTCTCTCTCTCTCTCTCTCTTACCATCTTTTGTAGTCTCTCTCACTCTCTTATACTCTCTTTTACACAGTTTTGTGGTCTCTCTCTCTCTCTCTCTCTCTCTCT